TGGCTGCGGGGGTAGATCCATTATCGGGGAAGATGCCTCCGTACTTGACAAGAATTAGACATCAACAGAACCTTGTATGTATGTAGTACTTCAGGCTGTCGAAACTTTGCTACAGTGCTGCTTAATCGCAGAGGGAAAATCTAGTGATGTCCCCAAGAACATGATTGTCCTAGGCATATAGTCGCAATATCTCTATAATGATCGCTCTGTCAGCATATAGATAGAGCTGTTATAGGAATACAAACCCCCACGGGATATGGCGTTCATCTAACTGCGCAACAGAGTGCTGTGAAGAGCTGGGTGAAGTAAAGACTCCGTTTTGCTCGTATGAACTTGGTCCCGGGACCACCGGGGCATGTTCTGGCTCGAATATAGCTGTTGCCACTGACGGGAAATGCCAATTCTCCCAACACTGTTCCGGATGAGACTCGTTCCGGTTCCATGATCTCTGCTGGATGAAAATGACGTTTTCATCGCTATTTCCAAAGGCACTGGTGAAGCGATCGTTGTTTGTGTAGCCTTCATCTAATGAGGCGAAAGTGGAAGGAAGTGATGGGCATTCAGTGGCCTGACCATCAACAACTCTAGCCCGTGGCGGTGTTGGAACTGGGATTAACCCTAGTGAGCAGAGAGGAGGTTGGGGAAGGGATATTTGTGGTTCTTTGTGACGCTGTGAAGACGAGAGAGAATCGGTGGGAAGGTATTCGCAATGAATCCCTCTCAGGTAACATCGCGTGCAAACCTCAGAGTCGTCTGTAGGCCCTCGGTTACGATGAGGTTTACATCTGGTCTTTTGACGACGACAGTTGGTACATGCTCTAATAGCGCGGGGACCAACACGCTGAGAGTGGCGTGTTTCCCTGCCCATGCTTGCGATGTATAGGTGGCGCAAATATGAGAGGATCTTATATGCTGCTCCCCAAGTAGATATGTATTGAGATCAAGGAAAACGGCAAATGAATCACCCTCAAGCTGCAGTGCTAACTCCTCACACGGGACCTGGTTCATTTACCGGTGACCCTAGGACGAATTAGAGTGTATTTGTAGCCGTCCATACAACCTTGGACAGGAGACATCTACAAATACAGCCTTTTTTTCTTGGAACCCAAGATCACACTGACTACAGCCCCTCAATGTAGTATCTGGCCCTTTCGGGATATGTGTTCTACAAAATGATAATCAATTTTAAAACGGGTCACTCGAAGTTTTCATCCATATGTAGAAAGAAAAGAAATATGCTCGTGAGAAGCCCGTATTAAGCAAAACAATAGAGGTGCTGAGACCTGTATTCCACTGCTTCGAAGGTTCAATTATTTGACAAGTCTACTCTAGTACTGTATAACAATTGCCGATCGGGAAGAGGTAAGCTTCATATAAAACGTAATGTGGCTGCCCCTTTGCTCATAAGGCGCTCCAAAGTGACTGGACCAAGGGATTTCCCAGGAGTTCTGTCACGAAAAGCGGGAACGCTGCTGGAATTTGAACCCTGGCAGCCGTGGTTCGATCTCCGTCCGTGATTTTATCCTGGTACCCGAGTTTCGTTTCAAATGGTTGACCACCCTTCATGTCTGAGACGTCGATATCTAAATATTTAGCCTGGACAACATATTTGCTAGAATGTAGGTATTGCTTGCCCGACTTGATCGGCTTCAGAATGAACGTGTGTGTCGCCTAATCCCATCGAAGTCATTCACTTCAGTACGGTACAAAGTGCACAGCTTCTAGTAAAAGGAACTTAGACAACATAACACATCCTGGAGCATGATATTCAACAGTCTATGGAAACGACCGAAGGCACCAGGAACAAGGATATCTATTGGTAGGAGAACGACTATTGTTTGCAATATCTACAGAATGATCGTTCCTACTCTTTTCCGGTGCTGTTGTTCTTGGCGACCATTTCTATTCAGATAATCATCAAGACCCTTGTACGACGAAAGATCAAATCTATCAAAGAGTGAGCAATCGCACAATCCACGCCCACCTTCTATTAGTACTCATATTAGGTGGAGAAGGAGAGGGGATAGGAGAGAACTCTCACGCGAGGGACCAATGTTTATCCTCGGCGTATATTTCTCGAATTCATTTAAAGGTGTACTGAGACATCGATGGTTAAACCATAGCTCCACGGAACGCCAGACGAACTGGATCTTGACTGTGTGACAAAGTGGAGTAATGATTGGAACCCTACCCAAATGATATATATCTATCCAAGGTAGACGCTGTTGAATGGCCTGTTTGAGAATAATACAGTGGCTGTTCAAGGGATTTGCATACGTACGTTTTGTTCTCGCGGATTCGTTGACTGTAAGTGTGGATAAGTATAGAATACCATGACCCACATCCTACTGTCTATGTTTCGTTAAGAACCTCCATCCATTTGGGCTGATATCAAGAGACTTTCACGATACGAAAGTAGCTGTGACTGGAAATATACTGTCGGTGATGAAGTATGGCAAGTCTTCGCCCTCGGTGGACTACATGAGAACGATTGATTGCAAATGTCCGAATGAAACGACTAACCCCAACCAAAATGTGACAGTGGCAAATTTGGTCGGGACACAACACTTTGATGCTCCGAGGTACTCGCAAGTCTTTGTAGGTCTATTCTGTGTCCAGGAAAACAAGAAAGGATGTGATTTCTGTGTCCAGGAAAACAAGAAAGGATGTGATTTGCAGCAGAAAAACATCTTGTTTACAGTTTCCTCATTTGGATGGGTCATTTTTCGCGAGATAACGCGCACTACCACATACCATAAAAGGAAGGTCACAAATTGGGCGGCAGTTCGCCGATTCAACTCCTTCATTTTTGAGGTAGGGAATTATTAATTATTCTTTTGACACATTTTTCTGCTCCTCAAATAGTGCAGTTTGTTAAGGCCTATAAAACGGCGAAGAACTCGCTTCAGGATATTGATTGTCCGAAATTGGAGCATACTTGTAACCTTTCCACGTATTCTTACCCTAGGCCCACCTATCCGATTCGGAGTTTAGCTCATCGGGGTGCAAGGGAACGATGATCGACAAAGAGAGCATGTCTTGGTACTGATGCTCCTCTAAGCAAAGACCTCAGATACTCAGTGGCGTCGCATATGGACAACCTCATTCAAATACGGGGAATGATGCCCCGGAGCTGTGCAAAGGCGCTATGGAGTAGGAACCAGCCCTGGGGATCATAGCAGGTTGGACGACGACAGATGTCAAAGAAGACAAACCAATCAATCGGCTCCAGCAACAAACCGACAGAAGGAATCACTGCCTCCGGTTATTTCGCCTTCCTATACGAACGTTGAGAGTGACCGAGAGTGTGTGTATGTCGGCAATTCCAGGTGCTGCGCGGGGGAACGTTACAACAATACGTCCGATGAACCAGTCTTGGGTTGGATTATCAGTCCTGCGATCTGGTTATCGCGGAAAAAGCGACATACTTCCCTTCCTAATACACTCACGCCTGTACCCACATAATCATCTCCGATATCTTCTAATGTCTCCAGTCAGCGATGGTAACGAGCGCACATCAGGTTTCTCGTCTAATATCGATTCTTGGGCAGATGTTGGTGCAATAGCATAACGTGATACACGTTAAGACCCTGGAATCCGCTTGAACTTGCAGAGCAGTATCGTATAATAGTTGAGGACGTCTTCACACTAACATTCCCAACCAGACTGAGGATATATGACTTTCGAGCGCGCAGGAGTTGGTTTGGATTCGACCTGTTATGAGCTGTAGATGAAATCCTATATTTATATCGTGGCGAGCGGGAGTCCTGGAGAGAACGCACGATTCTAGTCAATGTCTCAGTTTCAATGGTGATGGTCAGCTCGAGGCGCCCTACTCCTAATCTGATCGCCCCTTCATACACGACCGTTTAACGTACCCGGGACAGCAATTGCAACCGATAGGTACCATATTTCAAGCTATTGATGAGAGGTAAGTGTTTGTTGTGGGGGGGAATGTTGCAACAAAATCGTCAGTGATCTAGTCTTGGGTTGAATAAGAACGGTACCTATTAGTTCTGCGTCATGGTCATCGCGGCGAAAGTCGACATACCTCCCATCCCAATACACCCGCATGATCATCCCCAATATCCTCCAATGTCGCTCCGGAATGGTAACCATCCATAAATAGGAAGGATGCGACGCCCAGGGATCAATTCTTTCCTTCTGATATTGTCTCGTGGGCGCGATGGTGTCCTAGCGTAAAGAGATATACGTTAAGAGTCTTGAATCCGCTTGAGCTTGCAGAGCAGTATCGTAATTGAGGACGTGTTCATGATGCCAAAGCATACGCGATATGATGACTATCGAGCACCGTGCACGTAGGAGTTGGTCCAGATTCAACTTTTAGATGTACTCGGATAGCTGTATCGATGATAGTGAGAGTCCTAGAAACAACGAAGATTTGTCAACCTCGTACCTAGGCAGAAAGAAAGAGAACGCACGATTCTCATCACTGTCGGACTTTGGATGGTGATACTGTAGTCAAAGCAAGAAGCATCAACACGTAGTTTCCAATCCTTGTCTGATCTGATCGCCGGCTGCTTCGGCAACATACCAGCGGTCAGTTCTGAAGTGAGATATAGGTCGATGGTTACCTCCCGATGAGGCACGCCGAAGTGAAAGCAGGAATGATTGACAGGTAGTGCCAAAGATGACAATTGCGAGCAGAAATTGGGAGGCGAAGTAGCGGCGAGCGGCGAAACGCTGTGACATCAATCGTGACCGTGATTGGGCTAGCGGCGCTGAAATTATAACCTTCGAGTGATTTCACTTCTGAAGTCGATTAACGGAGAAGGAAGATTCTATTATTGTACTGTTCAAAGTGCACTAAAGATCCAGCATAACGAATTAGAGTAAAAGTCTCTCAGCATAGTCAACCAAAAACATTTGGATTCAAGGAACGACGCGCCAATTCCCAAGGCGGGGAGTCGAACCCAGAGAAGATTCAAAAAATGATCGTTCAACGGCGGAGACCAAAAGCCCACCAAGACAGCAAGTTATTCCGTGGCAGGGAATCGAACCCTGGGCTATCGCGATCTCACGATTCACCGTCGATAATGAGAAGCGATAATGGTAGCCACTACACCATAACGGAGTAGTGGATCACCCTACACGCACAGTACATGATTGTACCAAAGATAGCAACTTATACTCAAACGACCGAATGGTATCCCACCTATTGGAAGTATCGTGATTAGGCATTAAAGATGCGAGTTCCAGTCTTTGCCAGGATAAGAGCAGAAATTGATGAGTGATTCGCAACAAACAAGGTACGTAACGTACATACAAGCGCAAAGATATCCCAGATACGAGCGCTAATACGGGCGCTTACAAAATGCTTTAAAAACGCTCCCACACTTTCCAATGAATAAAATCATTGCAACATGTAGACTGAGCCGGCTGGACCGCGGGATTAATATAGTCCCGTCGCACAATTGCTCTTACCGCATTAGAATTTAGAGCGTCTTAATGACGGAGGTGGCGAACGCACTCAAATCATTACATTCGTTGTCGATAATTGCATGTCTGTTGGACGCCGGGATTGAATGTTGGTATGGGCTACCTAGATGATCCACTTAAGATAATATCTCATCTGCTCAGAAAGTAAGTAGCTGATCATGCCGATGGATAAGTACTCACTCAGCGATGGTAATGCCTCTTGGCACCCACACTAATTTATTCAGATGCAAAATACCATCTGCCGCGAAGGCTGAAATGACAAATTCGGACGCAGAAAAGCATCGTGATCGAATGCTAATAAGTTTTGCTTGTGTCTTGCAAATCGGTGGCCATTGGCTCCGATAATTATGTCGTTGGGTAGGTTGCACCTAGCCATTAGATATTGTGAGTTTCTATGCTGTTTGTAGGGTTGAAGCATGGCATTTCATGGTGGAGGTCATGGTGGTCCAATGGAAGAAGAATTGCGATAGGGGAAACATTGACTTCGGAAAGGGGTGATGGTCTTGTTGCACACATCGCTTCTGCAAGATCAGAAGTCCGATATCTTCGGTGAACCCTGCATCTATGAAGAATACATCGGTTACACGTGTGTTTATGATATGAATGGGTCCAGGAACTTAAACCGGCCCTGAATTAAAGCTGCTGGAGTAGTAGTCCTAGGCTATGATCGTACTGCGAAATTTATGAAGAACAATAATTCTCTTGGGTCAAAATCGTACTCAATGAACGAAACAGTTGTCCGGAGAACTATATTTGAGAATGTTACACGTATTTTTGGTCTATCGCGTTGAATCATGAATGTGACCAGCAAGACTTCGCTGTCCCGAATCGTAACCAGAGGTTAGAACAGTGATCTCGACGGGCGTATTATCGTCAACGGATGCAATATGACCCTTGTTCCCTCACAGCTACTGTATCAATTCTTTGGACAACCTCAATTGAGTACCCCGGGTGTATCTATCGTGTTTATTCAAAACCGTCACACGTTAGATCAGTATATCATTATGGGTAACCAGATGCATCTATAGCAACGATGTTTGTTTTAACCATCAAATTTCTGAATCATGTTCCAGTTCTTGAAGCGTTCAATGTTCGTATGGCTCAAGAGATTGATCTTGAACTCAAGGCACAACAAACGATAGATGGTATGAAGAATGGAGTACTCACAGTCCCAGGTCTTCAAATTGTTGGACTTACGCACTCTGTCAGGCACACACACGTTCCTTGATGAAGAACGGTGATTGCGGGAAGATCATGATTAATGAATGCACGAAATCTCACAGGTTCCGTGTATCGACATTTGCAGAATGCATTCGCCGTACCGATCATTTAGCGAATCTTGGGTCTTATACACGGCGATTGAAGCATCGAAATTATTCACAGTCATATCACAGTTGACTGTATTAAATTACCTTCTCGGATCTCCTGATTTCTAACCTGTGTCATGTAATTAAGGTTTAAGGTATTACTGTAACAGAAAGGAAGAACATATGACCCTATCTCTGCATCGTGTTTGATCTGTTGTGGAGTATCAACGTGAGCCAAGGTTTTGAGCATTGATCATGGCAGCATCCATTCTCATAACGAAGATAAATCGCGCTTCTCCCGTTTATATCTCTTTCAGTGAACCACTAACGATGCCCTTACTTAGCGGTCCAGAGCAAGGTTATTGTTTCATCGATTGTGTTGGTGGACTGTTACATCATTTCAATACTGTGCTGCTTGAAATCAGATCTGTCGCTATACAAATCAAGCAGCATGGCAGCGGGGTAGATCTACAGCATTATCGGGGAAAGGTGCCTCCATACTTTACAAGCGTCGGAGATCAAAAGAACAGAGTATCTCAAATTTCGTATGCTGTACACGCTCTAGGACCTTCGGTTGTTCTTACAGTCTAATTAATCATGGAGAAGGGTTTTAGTGACGTCCACAAGAACATGGTTGTCCAAGGCATATACTCGGAATGTTTCTATAGTAATTGTTCTGTTAGAATATAGATGAAGCTATATGATGGTACAAACCTTGTCTGGGGATCCCACGAGATATGTTGTTCATCTAACTGCGCAAAAGCGTGCGCTGATGAGCTGGATGAAGCAAAGTTTGCATTTAGCTCGTATGAGCTTGGGCGATGTACCGGGACCGACGGGATGGATTCTAGCTGGGGTATAGTTGTCGTCACGGGAGGAAGATACCAATTGCCCCAGGACTGTTCCTGGTGAGACTCGTTTTGGTTCCATGTCTGCTGATGCATGACAATGGGATCAGCAAAGCGATCGGTGTTTGTGTAGTCTCGACTTGGGGTTTCATCTGATGGGATAACAATAGAAAGACGTGAAGGAGAGACAGTAGCCTGATCATCACCTCCTCCGGACGGTGATAGTGATTGAATCGGAGGAATTCCTAGCGAGGATAGAGGTGGCTGGGGAAGAATCGTTTGTGATGCTTTGCGCCCCCGTGACGAAGGAAGAGAATTGACGGGAACGTATTCACAAGGGATCCCTTTCAGGTAGCATCGCGTGCAGGCTTCAGAGTCGTCTGTAACATCTCGATTACAACGAGGTTTACACTTGGTCTTTTGACGACGACAGTTGGTACATGCTCTGACAGCACGATGACCAACACGTTGCTGAGAGGGGCGTGTTTCCTTGCCCATTTTTGCGTTCTACAGCCAGCGAAGCAATCAGAGCATCTTATATGCCGCCCCTCTAGCAGATATGTATCGCTATATCAAGAGAAACTGCAAATGTGCCATGTTCAACACATAGCATCAACTCTGCGGACGGGGCTGGGTTTATTAACGGTCATTAACATAGTGGCCGCAGGTCTCCTTGACATGAATTAAAGTTGTCGACGTCTCGCTGCCGTTTCGCTTAGAAGACACTTAGTATTGACGCTAACATAGAGCGCGAACCCTCGAGGAAGTCCATACCACCAACGGAATCAACGGGATTTCTACCAAATGCAGTCTATTATGTGCTCCACACTCACGGCTCAATTAGGGAACTTGAGAGGTTTTCATCAGCAAATCAAGAGTTTGAGACAAAGGATAATAAATTTGATAAGACTATTCCAGTAGTAGAACAGAAAATTTCCAGTGCCCCAATTAGCGATTTGGTAGCGATCTAGAAGAGATAAGCTTTTGTAAGTGCATAAGGCGGCTCTAAGGTTGGGAATTTCCGGGAGCCACGAGTCAGGAGGAGCGGGAGTGGAACGTTGACAGCTGCTCGGCATGTAGCAAGTTTTGACAAGGCTATAGTGCATCGAATCTAGGGCAGATGAATCGCGTAAAGGATGGTGACAGAATTCTTGACCTACAGTGAACTTGACCATCGAAGAAAATATAATTTAATCCACGAAGATGACATTACAATTAACGTGGAATAAGAGAGTATCTATCTCGGGCCCACAATATTATACCAAACCGCAGGAAATGAGAATTGGAGGATATCTGCGACCTTGAGTCATTTTTGGAACGAAAATCGCTCAAAACAGCACGTGCAGTCCGGAATTTTGGGTTTTCTATTACTTATGGTTACAGGCGATTTTGATCCGTTCATTCACCCTGACACTTCTCAGCACCTAGTAAGTCAGGGTGTTCTGAAAATGTATATCATGCTTATGAGTGCTCTGGCAAAGGTGTACAGTTATGTACATTACACCGAGAAATGAGAGAGTCTAGTTTCACTTACCCGACGGCTACAGACACCCTAAAAAACGAGGAATTAATGAGGCTTCTCCTTCTTTTGCGCGTATAGATGAACGTGTTGGTGTTCTAGCCATAGGGATAGCCTTGGATTTGCTTGAAGGTGGAGTGATTGACTACTAGAATAGCTGTATCAAGGAAAGCAAGAGGAGGAGGAAGAGTGGTCAACGTCGTAACTAGGCAAGCAAAAAGGAAAACGTACGATTCGAGCTGTCGGCGTTTGAGTGGTGATGGTAAGCGTAAAAGAACCGCAAGCGGTAATCCACGTGCCTTTCGGCTCTCGGCAGCTGTCGCTGGTCAACGTCCCGGTCAACGTTCCCAACGAGAAGTGCGTTGACGTCGGCTGACGAATCTGATGACTGCTGGCGTCAGTCGATGTTTTCAGAATTTTGAGTCGATACTTAGCCAGCAGTTAGCTCAACGTTTTCAACGACAATCACAGCTCGATGATGGCGTGCCTTACCATTGCCAAAACAAAGAATGATAATCGTACGACTTTGGTTGTGGACAAACTCCGAGCCGATCAAGCCCATCCAATTTCTTCCTTGCTTCCTCCCGTCATGATCATCTTCAACCCGGCTTATTCTCCTCCCTCTTCCTTCGCTTGCTCACTCACTTCTCCTTAGCAGGCCTCAAGCAGGGAAGATCTACGGAGGCATATGTCACGGTGAGCTTTATTGGGTCAATATCATAACGACTAGCTCTGACGCGGCTGTGTTCTCGTGTATGCATACTTCGACATCTCCAGCGGTATGTTCTATCCATGGCATACCCATCTCTGAGCTGACTTTTATTCAGTAGCGATTGGTTAGACATGGATGACTTTAGGGGTTTTTAGGGTGGCAGACAGCGTACGTTTCTATCCTTCTCTAACTTGCCAGCTCTGACCTTGGCTTCAGGTGGCCACAAAAACAGACTACACGTGAAGAACA